CAGCAAGACTTTGCTGCATAATTTGGTGGTTAAGAGCCCTTCTTCAGAGCCAGGCTACCGTGGTCCAAATGTTGTCTGTAGAACTATCTGTATGACTTTGGGCAAATTTCTTAATTCCTCTGTGCATTAGTATCCTCATCTGAAAGTGGGAAATGATAATAACACTTAATTCATAGTTACTGTGAGAATTGACATCTAACATATGGTAGAAAAATCAACAAAAAATTATTCCTTAAATGATTTCTTGGTGTTATAGTAAACAAGAGCTAATTTGTCAAATAGCATCAAATATTATCCTTGAGTCTTTATTCATATTGCCAGACACAGTGCTTGGTATATAGTGGGCACTTAGTAAAGAATTACAGAATAAAAATATTTGGGGATGCTTTTTATCACTTTCTCAATGAAAGTCTTTCTCAACAAGCTATGAGGATTGACTGTAAGAAAAAACAGCACTGGGAAATGGCTGGTGCTGGGAGTAGGGCAAAAGTCTGAGTTGAGGTATACAACATAAATGTTGCAAATATTCCCCCCTCTCCATGGTATTGTGATCTCTACATTTCACACTGATAAAAGCTAACAAGCTATTTTGAAATCCAGTAAAGTCTTGGTTCATTCAAATAACATGTATCAGGAAGGTTCTAGACAGCAGTCATACTGTGGTCAGTAAACATACTGTTCCAGTTCAGCTGTTGCAGACACAGGTGGGAAAATATGTAATCACAAGAGTGTCATTTGTTAATAGTTCTGGAAAAATAAAAAAAAATTTTAATCCACTGAAAGTAGGAAAGGGGCTGTTTATTTTTTCTTCTGTTACTTGATATCTGGGCAGAGAAGCAAATTACCTTATCTCAAAATTTATTTGTGGTATAGTGGTGTGTGGTGGTGAGTCAAAGGGAAAATCCTTTCCTGTAAGAGCTCCTACTGCAAACATTTAGAATTTTCCTGGGAAAAGATGTAATTCCTTTTTATCTTTTCTCTTTTCCCTAATTAGAAGTTATTCTCGGGGCACCTGGGTGGCTCAGTCAGTTGAGCATCCGACTTTGGCTCAGGTCATGATCTCATGGTTCATGAGTTTGAGCCCTGCGTCGGGCTCTGTGCTGACTGCTCAGAGCCTAGAGCCTGCTTCGGATTCTGTGCCTCCCTCTCTCTCTCTGCCCGCCCCCCCCCCCCCCCCCCGCACAATCTCTCTCTCTCTCTCTCTCTCTCTCAAAAATAAACATTAAAAAATTTTTAAAAAGAAGTTATTCTCAATTATTAGGACCAAGGACACTAGTTTATAGATCCTTAGAATGTTTCTAGAAAAATGGCATCTTTTATGCCACCATCAAGATTAATTTATTGAAGGAATCTTGGTGAGAATTGGAAGTCACATAAATTTACTTTCTCTTCCACTTAGCATGCACTATATAGAATGTGTATAAAATTAAACCTATGTGGTATTAAAAATTAGTATGTGTATACATTTCCACACTGTATGGCTATTCATGGTATTGACTTTACTGGTGCACTTGGATGGATTAAATTTTAGTACAAAGTGAATTTAATAGCTATGATTGCTTATGCTATTTCCTGAGGTTAAGCTAGTTTCTTTTGAAAGGATCTGGCTATTGCAGATATTGAATTCAATGTTTGTTCACTTAATCAAGGTTTTATTACTCAGTCTTTAAAAAGCTATTCCACATGAAAATATCATTCCCTTCTCCCTTCCTTCTCAGCAGCCACCAGCCCAGGAAAAGGGGGATTTAAAGCTGTTTCCAGAAAACAGACAAAATATTATGATACAGCATGGTCTGGCTTTCACATCTTAAAAGCTGAAACGTGCCTTTGCTAACTTGCAGCAGGCCATGAAATAATTATGTTGTGTGCTAAATGGCACTTTTCACTTTTCATTTGTGCTTCAACACTCAGTTTTCAGTAGATCTTTTAGAGAGGATCAGCATTCTTTGGAAACTAAAAACACACCACAGGTCAGCGCTGCACGGCCTGATGGGAAAAGAATGCGGTCCACAAAGGTGGTCTTTGTGAGACGTGACGACACGCCGGTATCTGTTACAGAATTGGCAGGTTCAGCGCTTCCCCTAGTGTCTGCTTCTGAAATACTAAACTCATCTGGGTTGCAAGGCACGACTCAAGGAAACAAGTAGGCTTTTAAGGCACCCAACCTGTTGCTCCAGAACAAGGATTAATTTCACACATTAAGGTGAAATCCTTCAGCAAAGGAGCTTGATGTTGTGCAGTGGGTTTTGGTAAAGGACCATTCAGTTTATCGATTTTTTTTTTAATGGAACTCAACTCTTAAGGTTCAAAGTGATCATTGGAATAGTGGGAACACTGACAATTTCTAGAAATGCACTGAGTGCTCTCATTGCCTTATTCTTTTCACTGAGTCTTGAGCTGTTTAATCGACAGAAACAGCAATAGTTACTAATATTTTATGCTTGATGTTGGTTTCTTCAGGACTTTTTCCAAAATGAGGCACTTGGAAGTTCTATAAGCTTTATACATTAAAAGTGACTTTATTAGTATATGAAAATATTTTGTTTGAAAAAAATCTTTGGTATTTATACTTTATGTACCAAATTGAATTCTTTTCCACCTCTACTTCACACAAGAATTATTCTGCCAATTTTAGCACTGAAGTTGAGTGATCTAAACTGTCACATTTGGTCTTAAATAAGAGTCCAATTCCAATGGCTAGATAACCTGTCTTTTTAGTTCTTTCTTTTTTTTTTAATTCTTTCTTTAAAGTTTATTTATTTATTTATTTATTTAGAGACAGAAAGAGAGAGTGGGGGAGGGGCAGAGAGAGAGGGAGAGAATCACAAGCATGTTCCACACTGTCCTTAGTAAACCCAATACAGGGCTCAAATTCATGAACCCTGAGATCATGACCTGAGCTGAAATCAAGAGTCAGACGCTTAACTGACTGAGCCACTCAGGCGCCCCTAGTTCTTTTTGGATTCCGTGCTTATCATGCTATTTGATTCTTTTTGTCACTTGAACATATTTTTTCTCTCAATTTATAGTTAACCGCAATTTCAACCATGGTGGAATCTCAGAAATTTTCTGTGTTAGATTTATGAGGTAGCAAATATCTTTAGCACCTTATTTTTGAGGAAATTCAAAATAGTTTAAAAGTACTGACTTATTATGCATTACTGTGAAAAAAAAGGATATCATTTTTATTCACAGAGAAAGAATGACTTAAAGTTCTTTATAATCTATTATTTGGAGCCAGTGTACATCACTTTACTCTATAATTCCAAAGAAAACTTTGGTAGGTTCTGAAATAATCCCAGTTACTTCCCTTTTCCTCTTTCTGTTATCATTGCATGTAGTTCTTGTTTTGTTTCGTTTTAGTTTGTATTTAAATACATGTCAATACTATTACATCCATCTTACTCTATACTCAATTTTTTCAATGTTTCTGTAATAATGATGTGCACGATATCAACATGTGTAAACTTTACACTTTACAAATGCTTTCTGATGTATTATCACATTTGTTCCTCATTACCCCTCTAAGTAGTGAAGGACTTACCTAAGGTAACACTACTCATGTAACAATGGAGACCCAGTGTCAGGACTGCTGATTTTAAAGTCTCCCTTTCCTTTCCACAACTTTCTTTTGTATATAAAAAAAGTATTACTTTTCATGTATATATTTTCCATCTTTAAAAAGGTCATGCATATTACTATTATATGTCAGCTGGAAAGATATCCAAAATATCCTACCCAGAGGCACGTTTTCCCACAAAGAACAAACTTTTCTGTTCTTCTTAGTCATGAAGCCGTTGATTATCAAAATTAATTGTAAATAGATATATATCAACCCATGTAAAGGGAATATATTTTCAGGTAGGATGAGGTAAATGGAAATCCCAAAAATGAGAAAAAACAATGTGAATCTTAGCCAATAACTGATAGTATAAAAACTTTAATGGTGGTTAAAATAAAAAAGATTGTCACCTTATAACTGACTGGAAGTTGTTCTCCAATACTGTCATAACTTTATCTCTGTGTAGATAGATTATATTCTATTTTTTTCTGTACTTTTCTTCTCTTGTTTTACCAATGACTAATGCAATAGAATTATAGAAGATTATAAAGGAATATTATGTAAACCTCTAATTCTACTGCATTAATACTATTTCTCTTTTTCTGAACTATATTCCACAGTTTTATTTGTGTTTAAATTTTTGAAAATATTATGTATGTTCTATTTGTCATCCTTCCTTATCACTTACTATGTATGAAAGATTATTCTGGTTAATAGCAAGTGGTTATATTTTAATAATTTAATTTAACCTAATTTGTTGATATCATGTCCAGTTGTTTTCTTCATACATTTTTTAAAAATTTGTTGTTTACTATATAAGTAGATCAAGAACAAAACCTGATGTTTTTGTAGCTGGCAGCCCACAGTTGCTTTTGCAAAGAGCTGTGTTTCTGGTTACATTTCTCTTTTATCTGGTTTGGGGATGAAATGGATGCTACTCTGGGAGGCCAGGGGTTTCAGATGGTGGAACCATATAATTTATCTCCCACATAGGAATATTTTTGACACTGAAAGAAGACACTAGAAGTAAATCACTCTGAACAATAAATCAAAACTGTTATTTCCTTGGGAGAACTGAGATATATGGTCCTTCTAGTTTTAAGTAAGTTCATAATATTCTTAATATTATTTTATAAACTGTTTTCTTAGTCAAGTTAAAGCACCAGAAATCCCCTTGTTGATAATTTTATGCTTCATAGCCCCACACAGTCTGCACCATTAGGGAGGAGACACTGACCACTCGGTGAGGAGTGTGCCAGGCTCGGCCTTATTAAGCAGACGTCAGTTTAGAGAAATGCAAACTACAAACTCCTGTGTAAGGTTTTTCAATTCTCTTTTTAAGGTAAAAGTTAAAGCAATGATATAAGAGGTGTACACTTTCGTCCATTCTTTGGTCTTGATAATAGAAATCTTAAGCGCTGTCAGTATTCTTCACCAGGTGTCAAGATCAGAGAGAATCTCATAGGATTCATTCACTTCTTCGAATGTGGTTTAAAGGACAAGTGAATCCTGCAACAGCTGATCTTTCAGGAAGACTTGTCTTTTTCAAATGGTAAGATACATTCATAAGATGCAGCACATGCACCTAAAGATTCTAGGGGTATATGGGATGCTCAGTCGGTTGAGTACCCAATTCGGCTCAGGTCATGATCTCAGGTTGAGTACAAGACTAGCATTAGGTTCTTAGCTGTCAGTGTGGAGCCTGCTTTAGATCCTCTGTCCCCACCCCACCCCCGCCCCTTCCCCATTCAACACTCTTTCTCTCTCAAAAATAAACATTAAAATAAATAAATAAATTAAATAAATAAATATCCTAGAAATGATAGTGCTAAGGCTTTTCACATTACATTCCATAATCACAATTATAAAGTATTTATTGCATTTTCTCCACAATCCCCCATGCTGTGGTGATTTTGCAAGGAACAGACTCTCACAGGACAGAGGCTAGAGACTAGTAGTATCTTTACTTACAACCATGGTGCATATATTGGAAATGACTTCTGCATTTAAGTTAGAAAAATAAGTGGAAATGTGACACAAATTCAGGCAGGCACAGAGTGACTGGTAGCAGGAAACTAGGAGAGAATGGAGACAGAGGGTCACAAAGTATAGAAAAGCAAGGTGAGCCCTAAAAGGTTGAGATCAGATGTTTGGAATTGATTTAAAACAACATAAAAGTCTAAACATATATGAGTGTAAAGTATCTGTTCTCAGGACCTGCCTAGAACATTTATTGAAGCTAGGACTTATGAACATGGCAAAAGAGTTAAAAGAAATGAGCCCATGATATGATTAATACATTTTGTTTATATGAATAATTTAGATATAAATATATTCATGAATTTTTAATTACTCTAAAGTGGAATTTGGATATTACATGATGGTTCTCTCTGTTCAAAGAATTGGTGGTTGCCCTTGGTCATTCTGGTAGCGAAAATTGGAAGCCTCCTTTTAAGTGCCTATTTTCACTCACAGTTATTCTCAGCCCAATTTAGTTTTTCAAAATGATTTTTAGGAATAACCAGTGGAAATCAGTATCATCATTGCTTTGCTTCCGTCAATGATCACTGCAGATTTCTATCTACTGTTACCTAGGCCGTAGCTATAGTCGATAGATAGTCACCATAAACAGTAGAGTCCAAAGGCAAAGTCAGACCCAGGGCTCTTGAATTCCTTAAATTAATTTCCTGCCTTTCTGGACTAATGCACATGCTACTATTCAGGAGCTCTGTATTATCCAAAAGCCCCTTCTTAATTTGTGATAGTTAGGAGGTTCCTCCACTCTTATGTTCCTTTGTCTTTCCAATGTCATCTTGTCTGTATCACAAGAAAGTTCTCAAAAATTCAAACTGTTGATAGCACCACTACTTTCTCTCCTTAATGCTATTATTGATTTTGTTTTTTAACGTTCAAATATGGTCTGTCCTTTCGAATAACTTTCAGTGCAAGGTGATACCAAGTTGTGGACTTTATTGGCCAGCATGATATAGAAGTTCTAAAATTTGTACACTGTGAAACGTTCTGGCCTTTGGTAGCTTGGAAGAAATTTCCTGCAAAGCCATGTAGTTGTGGCATATTTTTGGAAGGGAGTTTAGCAATTTGTTTTAATAATTTATATTTCAATTGGTTTATTTCAATTTTCCAATTCTGAAGTCAATCAATAATTTATATTCTTAATTTATATTCTTCTAAAATATACACATTTATAAAGAAATTGACAAAGTTGAATATAGTATTCTTTTACAATTTTTAGTCTTTCTATTTACAGGCATACTTGCTGTTATTTTTACTTTTTATTTTGGAAAATGTTAAACTTACACAAAAGTGGAGAGATAAGCTAATGAGCTCTCCTGTCACCCAGCATCAGCAGTTATTAACTTATGCCAATCTTAATTAATCTGTACCCTCATCTGTTTCCTTTCTCCATTGATTTATGCTGAAGAAAATCCAAGACATTATATCAGTTTGTATGTATATATTTCAACACATAAAACTTCAAAACAGGAGAACTGTAAAAAGCCACTATCCATTAGCATTATCACTTCTGAAAACATTAACTATTATCATCAAATATCTAGTAAGTGTTCACATTTGCGAAAATAGCTTTTTTTAGTTGCATATGTTGATTTATTTTTAATCAGTAGACTTCCCTTCACTCTTTGTTTAAAATTTTCTGATTATATACCCATGAGGTAAACATGTTGCTTTGCATCTTGTTGAGGACTGTACTGTGCACTCCCCAAAATCATATTTTGTTGCTCTAACTCCCAATATGACTATATTTGGGGATAGGGCCTATAAAGAAATCATAAAGATTAAATAAGGCGATGAAAGTAGGGCCTTAATCTGATAGAACTGCTGTCCTTATAAGAAGAGGAAGAGACCTCATAGATATCTTTCTCTTTCTCTCTCTCTCTCTCTCTCTCTCTCTCTCTCTCCATCTACACACAGAAGAAAAGTCACATAAGGACACAGGGAGAAGTCAGCTGTCTGCAAGCCAGGAAGAGCTTCACTAGACACTAACCCTGATGGCACCTTGATCTTGAACTTCCAGCCCCCAGAACTGTGAGAAAATAGTTACCTGTTGTTTAAGCTACCTTATCTGCAGTATTTTGTTATCGCTAAGTTAACTAAAACACCCCTTTGGGGGAACCTAGTGGCTCAATCAGTTAAGTGTCCAACGCTTGGTTTCAGCTCAGGTCATGATCTCAGGATTGTGAGATTGAGCCCTGTGTCTGGCTCCAGCCTGGGTATGGAGCCTGCTTGGGATTCTTTCTCTCTCCCTCTCTCTCTGCCCCTCCCCTGCTCACTTTCTTTCTCTCTCTCTCAAAAAAAAAAAAACAAAAACAAAAACAAAAACAAAAAACTAATAAAAAAAAGTTTTCCAGTTATCAATCTATATTGCTCCTCAGTTCCAAATCCACCTGTCATTACCTTGCTTATGATATTGGAAAATATTTTCTCTTACAAGTGGGCATGATATTCAGCTCTATCAGTAGGGATTCTAGAGGAGGAAAGGAATTCTGCCTCCTGGCTCTGGTATGCTCTTTTGGCTCTTGTGTAGTGCGAGGTGGCCAGCATCACAAGGCACTTTCTGTGGATAACTTCCCTGGCACCCCTTTGGGTACTTTTGCAGGAAGTTCCAGGATAAGCACCTTCTTGTGGGAGGAATTTCTCAACTACCTCGAAGAATGTTTTTCCAGTGAGTTCCTCCAGTGTGAGTCTCCTCTTGGGCAATTTCTTCTGGGATTCTCAGCAAATCCCTCCATGTGGCACTTCAGTGAATCTGCTATTCAGTGTTTCTTGACCACACCCTCTTCCATGAGATTTAGATCTCATTACTGGTTGGTAGTCTTTCCCTGATTTCAAGATTCTTGAGTGTTCTGTTTCAGCCCTTGGGCCAGTGGCAGCTCCCTACTGCCACTCCTATATTATTTAGAATTCTCTTTACTCCACACTATGGAATCCCTTATTGTACCAATCCTGAAGTAGTTAATGTTTCTTTATATTAAACTTTTCCTGAGGTACCTGGATGGTTCAGTCAGTTAAGTTGATTTTGGCTCAGGTCCCCCATCCAGCTCATCACTGACAGCATGGAGGGTGCTTAATGTTCTCTCTCCATCTCTCTCTGCCCCTCCCCCACTTGTGTGCATGTTCTCTCCCTCTCAAAATAAATAAACATTAAAAAAAAAAAAACACTTTTCCTGTCCAAATTACTATATGGTTTCTGTATCTTGTTTAGACTCAGACTGATATAAAAAGGCCTGATCAGACCCAAATTCAGTTTTGTTTTTGTTAAACTTTTGCAAGGCTACTTTATAGGTATGTGTATATTCATCAGTAGATGTATGATGTCTGGATTTCTATCTGTGATATCAGCAGTCATTGACGATTATGCATTTCATTAATTCATTAGGGTTTGCAAAGGTTTGAAAATTGATATTTTTTCTATCTTTGAGAATAATTGAAAAATAAAATTGTAAGATATTAAAAGTGTACAACATAATGATTTAATATATGTATACATTATGAAAGAATTCCCATTATTGAATTAATTGGCATCCATCACTTCACATATTTGCCTTTTTTGTGTTGTGTGTGAGAACATTGAAGTTCTTACTCTTTACTCTCAGCAAATTTTAATTATACAATACAGTGTCATCAACATTCTAATTTTATCATTCCTTTTTCTAATGAGTAACTGGAAAACTTCTATAAAATAGAAGCATCCCTTCATCACTATTTGGTTACTCTGAGATACAGATGATAAATAAAAGATACAATAAATGCATAACTATGTCTGATGTTTTCTTTCCCCTTGATCAACTTTTCAAATCATGCTTTCTGTCATTTTCAAAATAATAATTTTCACTTGCTACTACCCATCAAAATGTCTTTTGGGGGGACATCCCTGTGAACTCATGGAAATAAATATAGTTGATATGTTCACTGTGTTTCATTTATCCTTATTAGTGATCTAATTGTCCCAACTTCAGTTACTTTGGGTGTTATCATCGTGGTATCTGAGTCCTTATTTTCTACTCTGATGAGATATTCCATGTTTAACCTTCTGTATTTCCTCCATTAAGTCTAGAATCCACCGTTTCTGAAAAGAACATTTTATCTTTATTAGAGGATGATTTTGAGATCCCCAAATATAGGTTCTTGGGTTGCTTATTGCTTTAAGATTAGTCTAGATATGTTCAGTGTTCAGAAATAATAAGTAGGTATTTTTTAAGGGAAAACATATCAAATTTATACTGATATTTCCAATTCAAAATGAGGATTAGAATTTTTATGTTTTTAAATTTTTTTTTTCAACGTTTATTTATTTTTGGGACAGAGAGAGACAGAGCATGAACGGGCGAGGGGCAGAGAGAGAGGGAGACACAGAATCAGAAACAGGCTCCAGGCTCTGAGCCATCAGCCCAGAGCCTGACGCGGGGCTCGAACCCACGGACCGCGAGATCGTGACCTGGCTGAAGTCGGACGCTTAACCGACTGCGCCACCCAGGCGCCCCTAGAATTTTTATGTTTTTGATGTTATATGTATATTTCTCTTCTTTTACACTGAAGTCTTAGGTCCTAAAGACATGCAAGTTTATTCTGTTTTCTATGTACTCTCCCCATTCATCTCTCATTTTTTGATGGTTGTGCTTTATCTATCTTTCCAGGACATTTAACAATTTTTATTTATTGGAGTGTTTTTATTAGGAATGGGTGTTGAATTTGGGCCAAGTTTTTCTCAGCATCCATGGGGATATATATATAATTTGTCTTTGTAGATTTATTATTATTATGTATTAATGGATTTCCTAATATTGAACCAGTTGTACATCCTTGAAATGTCTGATTTATTAATTTGTTAATATGCTATTGGATTCTGTTCATAATTATTTCATTTAGTACTTTTTCATTGATATTCATAAGTGGCATTTGTTTTTAATTTAATTTTTATACTATCTCTATCAGAATTATATATCAATGCTTCACTTGCTCTAAAAAGAATTTGAAAGTTTTCCTTTGTTTTCATACTTTGGAAAATTTTATGCAATATTGGACCTCTGATGTTTTGTTAGAATTCTACTGTGAAACCATCTGGATCTACCTCTTTTTGGAGGGTCAGTTACAGTGGTATGCTAGAGCTTGCTCAAACTAGTGTCAAAAGTAGATTGCTAAACGTTCAGGAATTATATAAGCCCATTGTTGAATAGAGTCACTATTAAATAATATAGAATCAAACAACATTTCAATCTCTGCAACTATACAAAAAGGTAAAAGAAGAGTTAGTAAGAGTGTAGTGAATAGTGAATACATCCATTAATCCCAAAAGGTTGTGTCTGTTATCCCTCCTGCCAATCCTTCCTTATTCCCATATCTAGGCAACCATGGCAGCATCCTTTTTTTCCAGCATAATTATTTTGATATTTATCTTCATTGTTGCATGCACCAATAGTTTATTGCTATTTATTGTTATATATTATCCATTGTATGGCGATGCCCCAGTATGTTTATCCATTTATCTCTCAGTAGGCATTGGGGTTGTTTCTGGTTTTTGGCTGTTGCTGAATATCTTTTCATGAACTTATTTGCCATCTGTGTATCTTATTTGTTGAAGTATCTATTCAAATATTTAGCCATTTTTGATTGGGTTGTTTGATTTTTTCCCATTACAGTTTGAGAGTTCCCAAATATTCTGGATACATATCCTTTAGCAGATACATGATTCACAAAATTGTTCTTGTATTCTATGGTTCGTATTTTCATTTTTGTAACATGACAGTGCAATTTAAATAGGAACATTTTTTATTATGTTGATGAAGTTAACTTATCAAAGTATTTTATGGATTGCATTTTTATTATAATTAAGACATTTTTCCTAACCCAGGATCATGAAGATTTTATCTTCTGCTTTTTTCTAGAACTTTTATATTTTTAGTTTTTTTTAAAATACTTTTTTTAATGCTTATTTATTCTTGAGGAAGAGAGAGAGAGAGAGAGCGAGCATGAGCAGGGGAGGAGGAGAGAGTGAGGGAGAGAGAATCTGAAGCAGGCTCTGCACTGTCAGTGCAAAGCCCAATGTGGGGCTTGAACCCACAAACCATGAGATCCTGACAGAAGCCAAAGTCAGATGCTCGGCTGAGTGTCAGGTATCTCAGTGTTTTTAGTTTTATATTTAGATCTATGATTATTTTGATTAAGATTCTGTACATGGTACAAAGTAAGTGTCAAAGTTCATTATTCTGCATGGATTTCCAGTTTTTCCAGCATCATCTGTTGAAAATGCTATAATTTTTTCAATGAATTGCCTTTGCACCATTGTCAAAAGTTGGTTGTCCATTATCTCACGATATATTCTATGTCCTTTATTCTGTTGATCTATTTATGCCGATACATTAGCCTTCCAGTTTTGTTCTTTTTTTTTTTTTAATTTTTGGGACAGAGAGAGACAGAGCATGAATGGCGGAGGGGCAGAGGGAGAGGGAGACACAGAATCGGAAACAGGCTCCAGGCTCCCAGCCATCAGCCCAGAGCCTGACGCAGGGCTCGAACTCATGGACCGCGAGATCATGACCTGGCTGAAGTCGGACGCTTAACCGACTGCGCCACTCAGGCGCCCCATTTTTCAAAGTTAGTTTAGCTACTCTAGGCCTTTTGCATTTCCAAATGATTTTTAGACACAGTATTCAATTTCTATAAGAAAATATTTAAATTTAATCACAATTGTGTTGAATCTATAGACCAATTTAAGAAAAATTGACATTTTAACAATATTTGAGCTTTCCAACTCATAAATATGAGTATGTCTCCATGTATTTAGCTCTTTATTTTTTCTCAGTGTTTTATAGTTTTCAGTGCAAATTTCCTGTACTTTTGCCAGATTTATCCCTAAGTACTTCATATTTTGAGGCAACTGAAAATGACACTGTTTTATTTATTTCAATTCCCAGTTGTTAGTTGTTATATAGAAATACACTTGATATTTGTGTGTGTGTGTGTGTATGTGTATATGTATGTACATATACATAATGTATATACTTTACAATCCAGATAAACTTTCTAAGTAGTTCTAGTAGCTTTTTTTAGTAGATTGCATCGCTTGTCTTACATAGATGAGCCTATTTTCTGTGAATATAAGCAATTTACCTCTTTTTCTAATAGAAACACCTCTTACTTCTCTCCCTTTTTTTTTAACTTCTTTAACATATATATATATATATATATATATATATATATATGTTATATATA